GAAGTCCCTGCTTTACAGAGCTAAACCAAAGGAACCGTTCCCAGGATTTCTGCCTTTACCTGGATGTCAGGTGAATGCCCCTTTATTTTGGAAGGGGGTGGGGGGGTCACATCCTTCGACCTTGAAGGCGTTTCGACCGGCTCTGAAGATGGATGCGCAAGCAGGAAGTTACGGCCGCGGTGGAGGTGCCTTCCGGAGACAAGACGGGCTGCGAAACGCTGGGAAAAGGCTGTAGAAGGTATTTGCTCAGCCCAGTGGCACAACTTCCACCCCGTAGACGCCGAAGCCGGGCGGAAAGAGGAAATCTTAGCCGGGGAGGGGGGGCAGGGGGGGAAAAGCTTCTGCCATCCTGATTCCAATTCAAATCTTTTGGAGCGAGCGGGAATCATAAAAAAAGAACGCCTTTGCGCTACAGAGCATCTGAAAACCTTCTTTCGACCTTCGTGGCAAAGATCTGGAAACGGTGGGTGGGGTCCTTGGTGAGCTGGATGGCTTTCTGGCAGATGTTTCCTTACCACGCTAGGTAACATCATCGGGGTGGGGTGGAGAAAGGAGTGGAGTTTGTGGAGTAGGAGGAGGGGGAGGGAAGAAGGGGAAGAGGGAGGGGGGAAGAGGGAGGAGGAGGAGGAGGAGGAGGAGGAGAAGAAGAAGAAGAAGAAGAAGAAGAAGAAGAAGAAGAAGAAGAAGAAGAAGAAGAAGAAGAAGAAGAAGAAGAAAAGACGACTGTGTGGTTCTTGGTGCTCTCTGAGCTTGATTTTCTTGCAGACGTCTTATGACCCAACTAGGGAACATCATCAGTGCCAGAAGGGGAGGAGGAGAAGGAGGAGGAGGAAAAGGAAGAGGAAAAGGAGGAGAAGAGGAGGAAGAGGAGGAAAAGGAAGAGGAAAAGGAGGAGGAGGAGGAGAAGGAAGAGGAAAAGGAGGAGGAGGAGAAGGAAGAGGAAAAGGAGAAGAGGAGGAGGAGAAGGAAGAAAAGGAAGAGAAGAAGAGGAGGAGGAGGAAAGGAAGAGGAGAAGGAGGAGAAGGAAGAGGAAAAGGAGGAGGAAGAGGAAAAG